TTTTTTTTTTTTTCTGTAATCATATAGTATTTTCCACGTCAGCATATCTAGCTTTCCCACATCAGTGAGCAGTACATTTGCTACCGGTGATAGTTATGTACTTCATATGCCATGTCTTCCATACAAGCATATAAGACAAACAATTGGTCTGTGCTCAATGGTATGCAGACTGTCAAGGACATGACCTAAAAACAGAAGCCCAAAATACACAAGTGTATAGCCATACTTTCTTAAAGATACCTTTTGGTCTTTTATGTGCTGTTTCCCTTTCTTTGAAGAAAAGGTAAGTCCTAGGTTATGTGATGAAAAGAGGAGCACAGACAGGCAATGGCAGGCAATACCCTGCCATCACTTTTCTCAGGGCCATCACAGGAGAGCAATTAGTTCATCAAAAGTTCATCTCTGTCAGCAATGAAGACAAAGGCGCAATAGGAAGCAACTTCTGCCTTCAACTGCCCCTCACAAGGGGAGCACCAGGTGATGGCAGATTTTTGTGGTTTCCTTTCTCTGCCCATGAGGTTTTGTTACGAAGAGATGCCTTGGTTCAGCTCAGAACTGAATGCATTTCTGTGGAAAGGAAGAGAAGGATCCTGCAATTAAGTGGCACACGGAGCAGGTGAATAAAAGTGCTGCAGCATACACTGTTGCTTGTAAAGCTGCCAAGGGGCTATCCCTTCCACAATGGAAGGTATGCCTGTTTCCTCCCCCCTCTACTGGTGCCATCCTCCTATAGCCATAATCAGAGGCTGCACTCTCCTCTCACATTGAGCAATCTCTCATTGGGCAACTCTGTCTTTGGGTGGATCACGAGTATATGGAAGAACCTTGAATTCTCCTTCTGCTTTTTACTCTTTTCTTGGTGCTATGGTGAGGTCCATGGAGAACTAGTGGCCCAGAACATGGCTGTGCTTCTGTAGCACCAGTCTTAAGAAGTATCTGCTGGCTTTCACTAAGCACATCAGCAATGCCTCAATTCTTAATGTTGATCTATGGGTTTGTATTTCTGAAGGCTTTTTGTCTTTGAATCTGGATGCTGCTGCACTGCTTTGTCTGTCCCTCTTCCCTCCAAAAAGTCCTGGCTCTATTCCCCCACTTCTTCCTTGTCTGTCTTCTGCCCTTCCTCTGCCCCTCTCCAGTATGTCTCACTCACATTTTTCAGAGACTGCCTCTCACCGAGGCAAGGTGGGGATTTTATCTTAGTGCTCAATCCCCTTGCTGTACCGTGTGAACACTCGCAGCACAGAAATATGTGACTGCATCATTGGATGTCACATTCTTGATTGTCATCACAGAATGATCATTATTGTCTCTGCTTATGTGAAACTTGGCCTCGTGAAACTCTTGGCCTATGTGGAACTCTTCGTAAGAGTTCTGCATCCATGTAGAAGTACTGGCTACTAACTTCAGACCATTTCTTGGAGTCTGCTGGTACCACAATGTATAGGTAAGTGTGGTATAATTCTGGAAGCAGGAGATGTCAACAGTCTCTCCAGCTTTCCTAAGGGTTTCTTCTGGCCACTGCGTGATGAGGCTTCCAACCCCAGCACCTGCATGAGTGAGAGAAAAAGAGAAAGGGAGAAGTGTAGATGATGGCCAAAAAGGGTCCTTTATCTTACATGTGTGCTGCATGGCCTGGATGAAAGCCACGCTGCAGAGATGGATCTGTTCTCTCTCACCATGTAAAACAGCAAGCAAAACGATCAGCATGGCCTGTCAGCTGTCCCAGAACACTGTGTCACTGCTCCTTGTGATCTAAGAGAAAAGAGGCAAGAAAGACTGATGCCCCTCCCCTTGTTCTGATTTTCCCATCAAGCTTGGGCAGAGAAGAGAGAAGGGACAGTCCACCTTTGATACCATCTTTGGTGAGCCATTAAAAAAGAAGAAAGGAAAGGAAATATATTCTATATGATGTACAAAAGTTTTTTATGATCTCCAGTGTCAAGGACACTTAGCATATGAGAAGTAGGGTTTTGACCATATGTCCTGTTCAATCCCTGCCAGTTCTTGCCACTGCAGGTTTTCTCAGGAAAAAATATTCCTTACCCATGATCCAGCAATGTTGAGCCCTGTGCTGGATGTATTACAGTTTCGGTGACGCCAAGGAATTGTAGACAATACAGAACATTATTTTTTTTTATTACCTCCCATATCTTTTACATTTTTCTTTGAATTTTTGTGCTGCTTTCAAAGTCAGTACAGCAGTTAGCAAATGAGTTTGACCAAATTTAATATGCCTTTATGTTCTTTTATGGTTTTGACACAGATTATCCTTGGGTGTGTATTTTTAGTATTTACTCCCCACAACCTGGGGAGCAACTTCTTTTTTATCTTTCATGGAAGTATTGTCTTGACTTGGCTTGCTCTCCATCTGAATTTGTTGACATTTTGCCCTTTCACCTTACTGCTAGGATGGAACACCTTGAGACACTTCCATGGCCCATGTTAAGACAGTTCCACAGTACACTGCTGCTTTGACAAATGTCCATAAATGACCCCTACATGTCTTGTGCATGAAGACACTACAGGATTTTTGGTTTCATTATTGTCTGTCATGCCAGACTTGTTAGAAATCTTTTCAACCTCAAGTTCTGGAGGGAGAAACTGTTTCAGAATCTTGATGGGAAATGAAACAGACTATGGAGAATGCGGGAATTAATTCCAAGATTATGCTGCGTAAGAACTCTGAGACAAGGCAAAATCATTTCAGTGCAGCCAGGCTGCCCATTTTTCTCTAGTCACATGGTTTGAATTTATTACTCATTCCATGATGAAGATTTTTATTCAGAGTAACTTTTCTGTCTCAGGAAACAAAAAATGATTGCACACTGTCAAAAAGAAGGAAGTATCTAGAAGATGTAACTCAGGACCTCTAGTGTGTCTCTCCAGAATTGCTTAACATGCTGCTGCCTTCTAAAAAGTAGCTACATTGGCAGCCCTTAGGTTTTCCAGTTCAAAACGTCTAATTCTTTCAGTCTGTTTTCTTT